TAAAGCGATCCATGCCCCTGTGATTATAACCCCGCAACAGAGTTGGTAGGTATACTGGAATCACACTGTCTGTCTGTCGTCCGCAAAATCTTTTACGAGAAACTTCTCCTAAACTTGTGCACCGATCTCAACGAAACTTTACAGATATCATAACTACCCCATGATATTGTGCATCCAGGTATTTGTTCCCATTCTGACCTTTTTTGCGGAGTTATGGCCATTTGTTGAAAACTCTTTGTCCGGACAACTCCTCCTAAACTATACTTTGCCAATTTCAACAAAAGGTTTCAGATATGATAACTATCCCCTGACGTGGTGCATGTAGGTATTACTTTTTTATTCCGTTTCTTTTTGTGGAGTTATGGTCCGTTGTTGTATATTCCTTGTGCGGACAGCTTCCCCTAAACTAATGGGCCGATTTGAACGACAGTTCACATATATGGTAGCTACCCCCTGATGTTGCCCGTCCAAGTAGATTTCTTTCATATCGACACTTTAATTCTCCTACCGAGTAGTTGCCCTCTGTTTTTTGTGTCTCATGAACTACTGTGGTATCTTCGGTATCTACTCCCGACATTTTGCATCCAAGTACAGTTTGAAGTATATATTTTTCATTTTGCCCCTTTTCACCGAGTTATGACCCTTTGTTGAGAAGCCTTTGTCTGCCTCCCAACCTATTTTGCCGATTCAACGAAAGTTTATAGATATGGTAACTACCCCTGACGTTGTGCATCCGTGTAGCATATTTTCATTCCGACCCCTTTTTATGGAGTTACTGTCCCTTGTTGAAAAACCTTTGTCCCCCTCCCCAACTACCGTGCCGATTTCAACTTAAGTTTACAGATATGTTAAATATCCCCTTACATTGTGTAGCCATGTATTATTTTTACATTCAGACCCTTCTTTTTACTCAGTTATGTCCCTTTGTTGAAAAAAACGTAGCCCTCCTTTTAAACTACAAGGCCGATTTTAACGAAAGTTTACAGATATGGTTACTACCCCCTAACGTTGTGCATCAAAGTAGTATTTTTTCATTCCAATCCCTTTTTTAAGGAGTAATGTCCTTTTGTTGAAAAATACTGGTCCGGCCAACTCCTCCAAAACTGCTTGGCCAATTTCAACGAAAGTTTTCAGATATTATAACTAACCCCTGACGTTGTGCATCTAGGTATTATTTTATCATTCCGAGCTGCAGAGCTATGGCCTTTTGTTGAGAAACCTTTGTCCACCTCCTCAACTACTGTGACAATTTCAAAGAAACTTTACGGTATAGTAACTACCCCCTGACGTTGTGCATCCAAGTAGTATTTCGACCCCCTTTTTAAGGAGTTATGGCACTTTGATCAAATATGCTTGTCCGGACAACTCTTGCGTCTTCCTAAACAGCTAGGCCGATTTCAGCAAAACTTTACAGTTATCATTACTGTCATCATGTAGTTTTGTACTTCTTATTCATTTTTTCGTATGTTTCATCTCCATTTAGGAAGATTTTTTTGTTGGAATGATACCTTTATCCTCATATTTTCATTTTCAGGATATGGATATCTTAGTTTGTTCTGGTCCACACAACGCCACCTGTAGTTGTGGACAAAATTGGTGAAGTATTTTATATCTAATGTTATGTGTTTCAGTTCTATCTTTATTAAACCCTTGTCAAGAGGAAAATTAGCAGTGTGTTTGAAAGCTAATCAGTAAATAAAGAAATCATTTCAGGTGGGGGACTATTGATTACTTTGCAATTCTTTGCCTTAGTTAGCCTTAAGCTTTCAGTGTTAGTATATATCAGAGTGAGGTGTTTAAGTTAGCCTGTGGCTTACAGTGTTAGTATCTATCAGAGTGGGGTGTATAAGTTAGCCTGTGACTTACAGTTCTAGTATATATCGGAGTGGGGTGTATAAGTTAGCCTGTGGCTTTCAGTGTTAGTATATATCAGAGTGGGATGTATAAGTTAGCCTGTGGCTTACAGTTCTAGTATATATCAGAGTGGGGCGTATAAGTTAGCCTGTGGCTTACAGTTCTAGTATATATATCAGAGTGGGGTGTATAAGTTAGCCTGTGGCTTACAGTGTTAGTATATATCAGAGTGGGGCGTATAAGTTAGTCTGTGGCTTACATTTCATGTTTTATTCCATTCATTGCTTGAATGTCTTAACCAACATGGCAACTCCAAATAGAATCAAAATGATTCATTATAAGATTGAATAAATGCATATGTGACAAAGTAAGTTTCTAGGGGTTGGGGTCCCTTAAATCCATCATTGGGATAGGATTAAAAAGTGCTGTTAAGTAAATCAAAGAGAGATAAGGTTCACGAAGGTTTTGTATTCTCTTCCTCCTTTGTCACAACATAGATTCCTATATGTATAGTCGTGAGTGTCCCACTCAGCCAAATCACTGTCAACGCCTACAAACATAACACAACAAACACCCAATAAGTTATGGTTTGGACAAGCATTACAACAGTTTGACCTTTGACCCTTTGAATATATTATGCAACACTCAGTCTGATCTTGATTGTGCTTATATCCATTAGAAAATGTGAAAAGTGGTCAGAGGTTATGTTTAATAAAAGCATCACAAAAGTTTAACATTTGACCCGATAGTATGACCTTGACAGCACAAACCTGAGACTGTTACATGGCACTTTCCCTCTGTACATGTTACATATACACCATTAAAAGAAGGTTCATCAAATTAGAAGATATGATGTTAACAAGCATTACCAAACACATATCTGTAATGTAAGGTCAAAGGTTAACATGCATTACCAAACAAAGATCTGTACTGTAAGGTCAAAGGTCAAAGGTTAACATGCATTACCAAACACAGATCTGTACTGTAAGGTCAAAGGTTAACATGCATCACCAAACACAAATATGTACTGTAAGGTCAAAGGTTAACAAGCATTACCAAACACATATCTGTACTGTACGGTCAAAGGTTAACAAGCATTACCAAACACATATCTGTACTGTAAGGTCAAAGGTTAACATGCATTACCAAACATATATCTGTACTGTATGGTCAAAGGTTAACAAGCATTACCAAACACATATCTGTACTGTAAGGTCAAAGGTTAACAAGCATAACCAAACACATATCTGTACTGTAAGGTCAAAGGTTAACAAGCATTACCAAACACATATCTGTACTGTAAGGTCAAAGGTTAAGATGCATTACCAAACACAGATCTGTACTGTAAGGTCAAAGGTTAACATGCATTATCAAACACATATCTGTACTGTAAGGTCAAAGGTTAACATGCATTACCAAACACAGATCTGTACTGTACGGTCAAAGGTTAACAAGCATTACCAAACACAAATCTGTACTGCAATGTCGAAGGTTAACACACATTACCAAACACTGGTCTGTACTGCAAGGTCAAAGGTTAACACACTTTACCAAACACAGATCTGTACTACAAGGTCAAAGGCTTACACGCATTACCAAACACAGATCTGTTCTGCAAGGTCAAAGGTTAACACGCATTACCAAACACAGATCTGTACTGCAAGGTCAAAGTCATACTTATAGATCAAAGTTCAAATCCCTCCAATGCTTTTTTAGAGTGTATCGGATTGAAACTGATGGACAAGTTGTCCACAGAAGATTGTGTCTATCGACAGACTGATTTCAATAGACACATCTAACTTTATGGTAAGGGCCTTGCATCAGAGATGTGGGTACTCTATAGTAAAAAGGTCAAGTAAAGAACAAATCTTTTCTGGAGATAATGTTAGAATCCAGAAGTCCATGATTTCTAAAATTTTGCATGTTGATAGATTAGCAATATAGCTTTAACAAGTTCCTAACATAAGGTCAAGGTCACTATTACTTAAAATAGAACATGATGCTTAAATGCATCATACTACAATGAGTCACTAGTGCTCATTTTTGAGGCAAATAGTGTTGATTGACATCCTACGTAAGTAATGCAGTATTACAAAGAAGATGGCAGCTGGTCAAGGTCACTGTATGTCACTTCTGATAGGCCGAGATATATACAGTTATCATTTCTGTTGTTTTGGTACTATCTTATTGGTGGTAATACGTTATTAGTGATAGCATACATGGTGAATAAGGACATACTACCCTATCAAATATGGACATAATATTCTATCAAATAAGGACATACTATTCTATCAAATAAGGACATACTATTCTATCAAATATGGACATACTACCCTATCAAATAAGGACATACTATTCTATCAAATATGGACATACTATTCTATCAAATAAGGACATACTGCCCTATCAATTATTTTGAGCTGGCCTGGCTACCATGATATCTGATTGGTTGACATTTTTTACTGTAGCTTCTGTTCGGCTATTTGAATTGTTTATTGGTGGCCGATGGTACTAGTCTATAATTACATACATGTGTAACATTTTTGTTTGTTTGTTTGTTTGATTTTGTTTAACGTCCTATTAACATCTAAGGTCATTTAAGGACGGTCTCCCCTGTGTGCAAGATGCATGCGTGTAGTGTATGTGTGTGTATTTTGGGAGGCTGCGATTTGTTCGTGTTTATCTCCTTGTGATAGCGCGGAACTGATGCCGACTTCATAGTGATACCTCACTGAAACATACTGCCGAAGACACCCAGCAGGACGCCCCACCCGGTCACATTATACCGACAACGGGCGAACCAGTCGTCCCACTCCTTATTTGCTGAGCGTTAAGCAGGAGTAGAAACTACTTATTAAATCTGAAATCTAACTCCATCAATGTTGTTTCTGCTCTGCAATTTTGGGGATTTATATAGTATGACACATTGAAGGGATCTTTCCGACCTGTCAGTGTTCTAGTTATTTGTTTAGCACATTCAATGTACTTGCAATGCTAAGGTCTCCCACTTTAACCAGATTTTGAAATGGAAAGTAGTCTTACATCATACATGGGTGACCTCCCCTTTCCACATGGTTCCGTTAGGGCCATGTGGTATGACATCTTACACAGAACAAACTACCACCGGCTAAGAGGTATCACATATTTTAATATCAGATATCACAAATATAATATTAATTCTAAAAGGTGTTTTTTTCTACATACATCCTAAAATGTGAAAATGTCATGTTACAAAATTCCAAGAATTACACACCGGAACATTGTTCATGCCACCTTATCTTGCAGGTGTTACATCATGTAGGTAACAATATTTCACTCAGAAGCAATGAAAAGTGAGTAAACCATAGTTCCGTGTTTTCATGTAGTGCCATATTGTTTCATTAAAAAAAAAGAGATAAATAAATAGGTTGAAGAAAATTCTCAGCTACAGGGCACAAGCCTAAGTATGGTCATTGATGATACATGGAGTTAGTCAAAGCTGACAACCAATGCAGTATGTATACACTGTACATTGTCAGTGATGGGTTCAATGTTATTGACAGGATCACAGTTGACTTGTCCAAACCGAATCTTCTGTTCATTGATGGCTGTGGCGTATGTGGAAGTTGACGACATACTCAGCGTTAGTCCTCTGTACGCTGATGGCGAAGGGTTCACTGGGGTGGAATGTAAAGGCTACTAGCCTCCTGGCAGTGGGAGGTGGACTTCGTCCCATCACGCCAGCATAGATTTTGAACTTCAGCAGTCCCGAATCTCTCGCATAAAACCTAAAATGTGTAAAAAAAAAAGGCAATCTTCATTTTCCAAATTTCAGCAGTGATACATTGACACAATTATTTCTTGATAAAGTTATACTTCTAACACCTAGTACTTTCTTAAAGTTAGGTTACACACCAGGCCTGTTATATAATTACCAACACATCAGCACTTTTTGAATTTAAAATTCTGACACAATAGTACATAAAAATAAAATATATAATCCTATTGTCATTCTGTCTCATCTATCTAATCCCGTCGCCTGGATAGATTTTATATAGAATAATAAGTTAAAATGATTTACTGTAAGGAAACATTACTGTATAATGGTTAAATTTCCTGCCTATTTCTAAGATGATGAAACTTTCAATTCAATACTTCTGGTAAAAAAATGATTTATGAATATACAGGTACATTATTAGAACTAAATATGATTTTTGAATTGTAGGAAGAAATTCAAAATTGACATACTACATCTTTCATTTTTTTATACATGAAGTTATAGATTTTAGGATACTTTGCCATACCACAAACTTTACATTCTCTAACGCAAAATTACTTTCTTATCTAAATCACAATGGCAATAATTCATCAATGATTAAAACTTGTACACAATATCTGTGATGTACAATATTTTCTTTTTACCTGATCGGATAATCTCCGCATGCCTTTGGTCGCTCCATCTGGGACACCCACTTATCATCGTAACTGAAGAGAGCTAGGTCAAGATAGGGACTACAACTGTAGGACTGAGAACTTATTGGTAACTGTGCCAGTAAGCGTTTTACAGCCTCCGTATGACCTCCAAACTTAGCATTGATAATTGTATGCTTGAATCGCTGCTGGATCTGCCGTGCATAAATATTGCTAGATGCAGAACATGTGAATTGGGCTCCATCATGAAGGGTCGCGTTTCTAAATAAGTCACAGAAATTTTCAAAAAGTTCTAACAGATCCTCGGAAATATTTTCACAAACTGCCAGCACCTCTGTATTAACCATGTTGTATACAACAAAAAAAGATGGCTGAGAATTTGGATCGGAAATTTTCAAAGTCACAACATCCTCACTTGCATATTTTATCAGTAGATGATTTTCATCCAGTAATTGCATTTTCCACATGCGCAGGGCTTTGAATTGGTCAAAGTATTTATAGAATTTGCGCAGAGCATATAATGTGCCTTCATGTATGGCCCTACGGTACAAGAACACCATCAGCCGATGCTTCAGTGAATTGATAGTATTGTCGTAAAATGGCCTATGTGGTTGGCCACTCACCCTGTCCAGCCCCATGTGAAAGTATAAGCCGTCATCTTCATAGCAAAATCGTCCAATGCTCCTCACATCAACAAAACTTGCATTCTCGGTGTTGACTTGGAAGATGTGAATTGTCTGCTGCTGGACAGAAAGCACAGCTAGTGTATTCTTGTACAGATACAGGCCTTGATTATGAGACAAGAAAATTTTATCACATCGAAACTGTCGCGTGTCACAAAGTCTGCCCGTTTCTAGGTCAATTAGGAGCAAGGAATAATTTTCAAGCGGAGAACGTTGATTTGGTGACACAGATTCGTTATTTCGATACATCTCCCAGAAGAGAGGATATGGGTCATCAGGTATGTACATAGCTGATCCAACCATCACATAGTTACCATCATCTGTAAATAAACTACACTCCCTGTTCAAATGCTCCCCGTGATTAGCCACATGTGTCACATGCTTCAGCTTAAAAAACCTGTCAAACAACACACCACGGACTCTCAATGACTCCTGGTCTGTGCCCATGAAATCCCCTTTAACATTTTGTAAAATATCTTCTGCAGCTGCTGAACCTTGAAATGAGTAAATTTCTATCGATGTTTGATCTGAAGAAAAAGCGATGAAATATCTTCCATCGGGGGAAAATTTCCTGAGAAAACATGGCGGCTTTTCGACATTGACAACTGTAAAGTTAGGGAAGACGTTGGTATACAGTGATCTTGCCCTGTTGAACTGAGCCCCAGGCAGTGAAGTATGTGTTTGTTGATAGAAAAATCTCTGAACAATGTTCTGGTTTGGAATTTTCCGCTGTCTTATTTCTTGACCTTGGAATTTTAGACCTTGCCCCACACAACTGGCCATAGCATGTTTGGTATCCATTCCTGCTCTTTTTCAAGTCTTTTCAAGGTGTCACCAATCATGTATCACTGTTTCAGAGGAGTTTCTGATTCCCTGTTACGAAATTAAAACAATAAACTTATAAGTTATAACATAGAAAAGAATTGCCAATAAGAATGAAATCTGTCCCACAATTGGTGTGTAGGAGGGACATAGACATTTTCAAGATTTTTCTATCAAAATGCTACTGAATTCAGTTGCAAAAGTAATATGTTTGACCTGTCTAAATGAATGCATACATTTTATTTTAACTATATATTTGTATTTGAACTGACATGAAATTTCCCAATGATTAACATAACTTTATAAAGAACAAATACACCACAAGGTTTCATTCTTGATATATATATATAAATCTTCTACACAATACGTTGTTTCCGGAACAAAAGTCATGTGATTTGGGTTTCAATTGTATTACAATAAGGGCATGTATAAGGAGAAAGCTACTGATAAAAAATAGATTACATAAAATAGCAAGATCTACTAATAGAGTAAATGACTGGCTAAAATTCAGAGTCTCATGCAATAATATTATTGATTTGATCAGGCAGGAAAAAAATAATTACTTAAGCAAATTACAGAATACTTTATCTGACAAATCCATTCCTCCTGGTAAATGGTGGCGTATTGCCAAATCCATCAGCAATTTTTCTAACAAGTCTTCTTCCTCTCATCCTCTTAAAGTTGCCAATAATATAGTAATCCATCCCATGGATAAAGCTGAAGCATTTAATAACATCTTCTGTTCAATATCTAACCCTTCTGCTGATGATGACTCTGATTTTGACTTACCTCCCCTTAGTCACCTACACTTTTCAGATATTACTATAACTGATGAAGATGTAATAGACCAAATTCACTTAATTAAAGTCAACAAACCTGCTGGGCCTGACAATGTGTCACCTAAAATAATTAAAAATCTTCTGCCTTTTATAGTAACACCTTTAAAGATACTCTTTCAGAAAACTATCAATTTTAATCCTCAAACAACTATTGCATTAACTGTAACTAAGAAAAATAGACAGCATCCATTACTTATATTTGATAATCAGATAATTCATGAAAATAAATCTCATAAACATCTTGGCGTAGTATTTAATACTAATGGTTCTTGGGGTGATCATGTTAAATATATTTATGATAAATCATGTAAAAGATTAAATATCTTACGTATGCTAAAACATAAAATTGATAGGAAAACTTTATAATAACTATATCTCTCCTTCATTTGTCCTACTTTAGAATATGCCTCTTCTGTCTGGGGTATTTGTAATATTGGAGAAGAAAAACTACTGGAATCCGTTCAAATTGAAGCAATGAAAATTATAACTGGTCTTAGAAGTGGTACATCTCATCAAAAATTATACTATGAAACAGGTTTTGAAAAATTAAAAGATCGACGGAATAAGCATAAACTTAATGTATAAAATCCTCAACCACTTAACACCTGATTATTTATTTGACATCATTGAACCTTATATAAATATACAAGTCAATCACCATTTAAGGACAAATAGATTTTTTAACATTCCTAATTCTAGAACTTGTATCTACAACTGTAGTTTCTTTCCTGATGTCATGTGCCTATGGAACAATCTCGATCATTCAATCACTTCTTCTCGGACTATCAATTTTTTCAAAAAGAAAATTAATAAAATTCAAACACCTCCCAGGACCATTTCATCACCTATAATCCAAGAAAACTAAATATTGTATTGTGTCAATTATGTAATAATGCTAGCAATTTAAATTTTGATAAATGTAATGATCACTTGATAGTTGGTCCATCTTGCTCTTGTGGCGCATCTTGTGTAAATGCTGAACATTATTTCTTCTTATGTCCACTTTATCTTAACTATAGACATTTCATGCCTGACATCACTAATCATTTTGGATATTCATCTGTTGATCTACTTAAAACTAGTAATGTTTATCTATCTACTGATGATAATTCATTTATTCTCTCAAAAGTTCAGCAATACATTTCTGCTACTAACAGATTTAATTAAAATTATGACTGTTTTCATTGCCTCTTATACTTATATTTATTTATATGTATATATATGTATATCTTATATTTTGAGTAAGGGCTTGTATATGTGTGTGTGTTGTGAATGCTTATTTATTATGTGTATGTGAGGGTGTATGTGTGTTATGGTATGGTTGTAAGCGTATATGAGTGTGTCTCGTTGATCCATGTACTAAATTTATGCTTCTTGTCAATTAATACCGGATAGGAGAAGACTTATATACGCTTAGCCTGTTGTCTATTTTTTTGTCCAATAAAATTTGTTGAAACTACTTGGTTGAAATTAACTCATTCACCCCTGCACTTTCATGATGAACTATTCCAACGTTTGAATTGGAAGAGTTCAAATGTGTCTTCAGGGATGAATGAGTTAAACATTGGTAAATCTTGACATTAACGCCTGAAATTTCACATTCTTAATGTTGGACATGCAGTCTGAGAAACCCCACACCAGTGCTTTTTGTAAATTGTTGTCGAGTATCTCTGAGATTTTCAGTGCTAGCCGGAAGTACACATGCCTCCCCCCCCCCCCCCCCCCCCCCATTAAATGCATCACACTGTGGATGATACAAGTTAACTCAATTTCATTGAAACCCGATCTTTAATTACACTGTGAAACACTATGTTCAAGTCAAAACGTAGCTTATCAGAGTAGAATAACAGATATGGTTTTAATCAGATTGCAAGTTAACTAGTCTGGAAACTTTGACAGAATCCTGTATACCTCTGATCATTTTGATACAAGAAAAAAAAGATAAAGTGCTGAAGAATAATGGTAAAATGTGTCACCTTTAACTTTGGTGTAGCTCATCTGTCAATTTCAAAGGGCAGGTATCAGCTTTGCATGTCTTCATTTTCCTATGTATGAAACTAGGGAATTAGATTTCTTATCTACCTAAATCTGTGATTTTGAAACCATAATCAATTGTGACACATTCCAGGGTGCAGAGAAGATATGTATCAATGAAATATATGTCGCAAAATTATTTTTTATCAATCAAATACACATCACTACAGAGACTTTCACATATCAAATGTGTGTAACAGTATAAGCAAAAAGTTATCTTCTTCATATTGTGATGCACCAACCGCACCAGCTTATAGATGATCAAGGGGAGGTAATTACTTGGCACGCTGATATGCCATGACTTAAAACGCTAGAGTAACTTTTGAAAGTGTAAACTAAATTAACGCATGTCTTGATTTTCACCAATGCCATATGACTGCAATTGAGACTGAAACAACAGTTCCAGTTGATTGTTTTTTTACTTACGATGAACCCCAATGCATCGACTGCGTTAATTACAAGCGCCATGGACAAAGCTCTTAAATGAGCAAGATTTTAATAGTCTCTAAACAATTGAAATTATTTTCTTATTATAGTAAAACAAATGTTGTAATTGTTTGTAATTAAGGAATCTACAAAATAACCGTTACTCTATATTTCTATGACTAAACTGTCTTCGCTAAATGCAAACGAATATTTGTCACGTGACTACAATTGCAAGGCGTTCTCTTTGTTAGAAATGAAAACTCTGAAGGACTTCCGAAAACTCGAAAAACCCACGCGGCAGCCATTTTCGAAGAGACTAAATTGCAGCAGGTGGGCAACTTATAAAATTACAACGCTGAAAAGGTATTATAAAACAATGATTACATGTTCCTATGTGTAAGAGCCCCCTTCCCCCAATTATATCCTATCTAGCAGATGCGAGTTTGAAACACCAACACGACTAACGAAGTAACACTAATACACAATCCGAATGGTTGGTGCTCGTTTGCAAGCCCCGTCGTACCGATTTCGGACAAAGTAAAGAATGCGGATGTAAATTAAAAGACAAAGTAGAAAACTCCAAGACCCATTTTTAGTTTACATTTATATTTCCCGAATGCATTATTGTCTTGTTACTGGTACAGAGAGAGCATCTCCTTTACTTTAAGTGCTCTCGCTTTCGTTACCCCTGTGTATTACAACCGGCAACTTGTGTATTGCAACTGGCAATCACAACATCGAGTTGAATTGAGTAAATGTTTGAGCTCCTGTTATTTATGAAGTTTATGTGCAATTACAAACATGTTTAATGCAGAAAATATGTGCATGTATATGAAGGTATATTGGTTTTGAACCATGGTCTTTTAACATTATTGAGGATTGACTTGTCCAAGTTTCTTTCTTGCCCATACCACAATCCACAGACTGATTTTTTTCAAGAATAGCTGTCTGGTGTTTGATAAGATGCATGTCTGATCTGACATGATTTTCACTTCTGAAGCAGTCTCACAGCATGGTTCCTCAACTTTATGACTAATTATGTGATGTGACTCTGAACGACATAAATAGAAATGAGACTACCCTCCTGAGTCCACCCCAAGCCCAATTATAAATCTACAGGTACCACTACCAGGTCGAACTGTCACAGAGGGATGACTGAATTTCATTAAAGAGCTTATCTGATCTGGATGGTAACACTTTCTTTATATATTGATAATCTACTGTCTTTAAATAACAAAGACAAGTTTTGCCTCCTGACCTTGAAATTTAGAACAATACAGCTTCTACATCAGCCATTTATCTGGCTCTTTACCAACAAATTGACCTGGAGGTAATGCTTTTTATGTAGCTGTATAAGCTTGACTGTTTCAATTTTTCCTAAAACAATATATATTAAAAATATGTCAGTTTCTAAGGGGTGTCCCTTCTTTTTCATTTTGATTACCTTGGCGCCAAGTAGAATATTGGGTCGCTTAGCCCAAAATTTTCTTCATTTCTATTTACAATGTAAATTGATTGCGGTGTCAGTATTTTTAATGTTGTCTGTGAACGGTTAACTCATTTCTTTTCTGAGTTGGAATATCATTCATGAGAGTAAAATATAACAAAAATTATAATGAATATTTTATGTTAGTATCCTCCTTCTTAGGTTCTTAAGCTTTTACCATGGTGTTGAACGGTTACCTTTCATGGTGTTGAACGGTTACCTTTCATGGTGTTGAACGGTTACCTTTCATGGTGTTGGCGGCCTCTGATTAGCTTATAACCTCACACACAAGTGCTAACAATGTTGTATGAAGACATACATGTCTGATGTGCTTCAGTGTTGTTCTGGATTGTCATTAATACCTTTGAAACTGTCATTTAAGTTTTTTTTATAAACCAATATAAGACCATCCCTGATGCATCAGTAGACCATTAATATGGTTATCTGTATTTTTTGAGGTTATGAAGTCAGAAATGCTTTATCTTTATTAATTTCTAATAAAATATCCCAATACAAACAGTGATCTATACCCATTAGTGTTTAGATCAGTTGTCTTATGAACATAAGTGAGGGTGCAACTTCTGCCTGTTTGGATGTTTTATCTGTATTTTTAAAGGAAGTAAAATTTGATATCCAAGATGTAAATAACAATGGAGATATTTCATTTTTATTTGAGAAATATTGAAACCATACCCAATATAAACAGTTGACCCAAAAGTCTTCAGATTGGTTTTAATTATTTATCAGTAGTGTTTAGAGATTTGCTTAAAAATTCCTGATAGATCATGACATCAATGTCTCTCAATCAGTCATTAATCGAAATGGAAGGGTAAAACATGGTGAATACCTAGCTAGATGCAGGATTGATATTTTAATGGAGTTCATGGTAAACTCACATTATTTAATCAATTTTCAGGTTTGATCTTAATTTTGTGTGTTAAAGTCTTAGAATCATGATTGATAAGTCATAGTCAGAGATAAAAGCAATTATTGATGAAACAATTGGAACAACATTGTAAATATTTTTGTCAAGTTTTATTATCTTTATTGTATGGGATTAAATTACTCCTGTTACTAACAGAACAATGCTTTGAATTAACATGCAACTCGATGCCGTTTTAGAGCTTAGCCAAGTGCAAAAAGGTTGCTTTTAAGCCCTGATACACTGTTTTCTAAATTATGTGTTGCATGTTTTTGCTCCAACAGGAAGTGAATAAAGTTTTTTTTCTACCACAATACACTGTGTTATTCCACTCAGATCATTGTATAAAAATGTAGACTGTTAGATAAATATGAGTTATACACCTCAGCTCACATGGTATTTGACCTTCCAGAGTTTTGATTGGCAGAGATGATGAACTGTGACCAAGACGACTTTTTCCACACGCTCTTTGCCACATGCTGTTTTGTTTATGTCGTCTGCTGTCAACATCCAGCAAATGTTGGTGACTTTGTGAGGTTATGCGATGGGGGGAAAATGGGGTTATTAGGGCAATATTAAAAGAAGATTATCTACTTAAAGATTTGATCGCTAGTTTCAGGCAAAAATTGCTACAGATGCTCGTTATCGTTTCGACGTCACACCGTTGCGTGTCTGGGTTGTGAAACCAAAACAAGATCTCCCAACGTCCCGTTATCGTTGTTTGGAGGGTCCGACTATGGCTGAACTTTCACTATAAACGTCAACCATGCATAGAACCGTCACGAAAAAAACGTCCCAGGCCTATGGTTTTGGACATTGACATCGATAAGTTCATCTTCATCACTTGGCGGGAGGCATACTTCGTACAATATGCGTACGTGCATATATTCTGCGGTTAATTTATATAAATTAATGCATTACTGTATACTCTCAATGCTAAAAGACGTTCATCTACTATAATTATTTCATGAAATTGTTGCCAAAACATTTATTTTAACAATTATTAAATTTGTAAAAAAAAAAAAGTCATTTTTAATATTAATGAGTGACTTTTTACATATGGGTCATATCACCACGCCAGCCTTGTCAACAAACACATGTGTGTATGTTATTCAAATCAGGTCACACTCGAGCTGTTTCCGACTGAGATTGTGGTAGAAACAGATCACACAACGAGTTTTATTTAAGTATTCATTGCAGTCTCGTTAGTTAATTTTCAAAAGTTACAGAAACACACTTGCTAAAGCTTGTGTCTTTTGTAACTTTTTAAAATTAATTAACGAGACTGAAATAACCACTCGTTGTGTAACCTCTATAACTGAACAGTGTAGTCTATACTAGAAATGTTATGACACAAACCAGTGTTATTGTTACCTCATTTTAAAGGGGCATCACGCTGAAGTAACTTTTTTTTTTTTCTTTTTTCCAAATACTACATAAACATATCAAGTGAGACTCCTTATGGAAAATGCCGATCGGATTTGGCTGAAATAGATTCATAAAAATGATTAAATCTAAGATAATCATCGGTATTTCTACCTGTCTGACCAACGTTTTGTTCAGGGATTTCCCTCTACTAGCGCATGCGCATAGCACACCATTTCTTTGTAAACAAAATGACTGGCCGTGTGAAGTAAGCCAAAGAAAAGTGTTGTACCGTGTCAGCTACGAAGCGAATAGTTGCCAAATGGTCAAAAGATAGCGCAAGGGGTACGTTACGGAATCATTATTGCCAGTGGGAAGTATTCAAAGCAGAAAATAACTGCCCTAGCAGTCAGTACGGTGCATGTTTTCTTCCGGATAGCGGCCGGTTAAGCTGAAATAAAATCGACAGAAATGCTAGCGCTGTTTATGTTATGAATAAATATCTAAAACTATTAACCTCGCTAGTATCATTGTGTGAGTTTGAACACAGATGAACTTAGTTTAATATGTTAATGGGCATGTATCGGAGAGAGTTTACTTTGTGTTTTTT